CCCACCCCCCACAAAAAAAAAAGGATGGTCCTAAAGATTCTTGCAGTGCCAAACTCCAGATAGCCAGATTAAGTCATTTTCATGATCAAACCATACTGTTTGAAATGTAAATCTCCATTAAGTTCCTTGATCTGCAAAACATCATGAAGGCACTGGAAGACCACTGCTTTTTTCGAATGAAAAGAAAAGCTCACTTTTTTTCTTGATTGTTGTTTTCTCCGTGAACCATTTTTGCTGTCTAATGTCACCCTTTAGGAATCATGCTTAATTGTTTACCTGGAAATTAAAGTGTTATGTCTTTTATCTGATTTGATATTCATTTGCATTAATATGTTAATGTTATTATATCTATGGTTTTTTTTTCTTTTCTTTTTCCAAGTTTACAATTGGAAACAGCCTCTCTACCCCTCCGGGGTAGGCAAGGTTTGCGTACACTCTACCCTCCCTAGACCCCACTTGTGGGATTTTTACTGGGTTGTTGTTGTTGTTGTTGTTTTTCCAAGTTTGCAATCGTAGTTTCTAATGCATATATATTGCCTTCTTCGTAGTGGGGGTTGAAGGTGCACGTGGTTATTGATATATAGCTTTGGACAGTATTTGTTGAATAAACATAACTTTTTTTACACGTTAAAGGAAAGATTGCTAGCAGACAAGTGTGCTCTAATGCCTGGTGACTGAAAAGCAGTATAATCATGGATGTTTCAACTCAACTTCATTATTCTGTGTTATTTTTGAAAAGTTTGCAAGGAGATAAGTTTCCCTTCAAAGCTGAAGTTGTAAAGTTCCAAAGTTCTATTAAAATTGTCAGGATCTTTTCTCCATTCATTGCGTGCAATAGTAATAAAGTAATACAATAGTCATAAAGTAAATTACGTACTGGGAACAGAGATTATGCAGATTTCTACATATCTTCCATAATTTTGCAGCAAAAATTCAAAACTTTGACCCCCTTGGCTGTATATTTGCTGTCTGAGATGGAAATGTAGTTGTGCTGCTGATCTGCATGATGATGAAGAAACTATCAATTGACTAAAACCATGTATTCTTTTCATGGATAATTGCAGCTTATCTTTGTTTTTGTCAATATGGATGATGAAGAAGTTGGAAGACCAGTATCGGATTACTTTGGAGCCACTGGAGATTCTCCAAAGGTAATAATCAACAAATTATAATGGGCAAGAGGGGACTTTTTGGAACCAAGGTTGCAATGTTTATCATCTTGTTTGTTTATTTCCTGTAGGTTATTGGATATACAGGTAATGAGGATCCCAGGAAATATATTTTTGATGGAGAGATCACTGTTGAGAAGCTTAAGGTAGAATGCCTCCTTTTGTTTGTTGGTGACATACTTATTAACTATTTCTATCAGTAAGTGTGGGACTGCATTTTTCTCATCTTTTTTATCTATCAGGCATTTGGAGAGGACTTTCTGGGAGGCAAGCTTAGAGCTTTGTATAAATCAGACCCTATTCCTGAGAATGTAGGTGTGATTTCACTTCCTGGCCTAGATTTTGCGACGTAGTTGTGCTGATTCAGCTCTCTGTTTCATGTCTTGATTATTATAGAATGAGGGGGATGTGAAAATAGTAGTGGGGAACAATTTTGATGACATTGTTCTAGATGAGTCAAAAGATGTGCTTCTGGAGGTATTAGACAAGCTACTAAACTGTAAAATGAACTCTCTTTTTCCGGTTTCCTTTTCATTATTCAGGATTCTATTTGTAGTATTCATCTTTACTTTTTTGTTTTTGTTTAGATATATGCACCATGGTGTGGTCATTGCCAAGCTCTAGAACCAACATATAACAAGCTCGCAAAGCACTTACATGACGTTGAGTCTCTTGTTATAGCCAAAATGGATGGTACCACAAATGAGCACCCTCTGGCAAAGGTAGTTTTTAGTGTTGATCAGAACAAGATTGTATAGTTTGGTCATGAACTGCTGCTTTTCCTAATTGCTTTTGCTACCTTAGTTTACTGGTTTTCGTTGTTCATTTCTATTTGCTGCCTGAGTTTCTTTCAAGTCATTTGTTCGATGCAATTGTTGAATGGAAGATCATATCCACTCCTTTTTGCAGGCTGAAGGATTCCCCACACTCCTCTTCTTCCCAGCAGGGAATAAGAGCATCAATCCTGTAAGTGATGGTTATTTTGTTTGTTGTTCGCCTCTTTAAAATAAGCAAATTAGCTAGTCTTAATGTAATTCTTATAATCCTACAGATTCCAGTTGATGCTGATCGAACTGTGGTGGCGTTATACAAGTTTATCAAGAAACATGCATCTATTCCTTTCAAGCTTCCAAAACCAGCTTCTTCAACTACATCAGATAGTTCGGAAGCCAAAGAAGGTGCCAAGGTCGAGTTTAGCCATGGAAAAGATGAACTATGAAAATTGCATAGCTCTGTTACTTTTTCTTAATTATTCTCCTAGCTTGTTCTAGTAGGATTAGATAAACGGGCTAGATAGATAACCACGGAACTTTTTTCTTTTCTTCCTTTTATCTCTTATTTGAGTTTTAAAGTTTTATATTGTTGTAATCAATAGAAGCTGTTCTTGGATAAGATGTACTCAACGCATAATCAACCATAACTAGTGACACGCGATGCTGAGACTTGACAAATGAAGATGTACGAATGTGAATACGAAAATAATTCCTGGCCTAATATTTTGATTCTTAACATCAAAAATCAAGATTTAAGGTTAGAATACCAAATTTTTTTACCAAATTTCCCAAGAACACAGCTTTAGGGATTATGGTGATTCTGTCACAATATTTTCTTTTATAATGGTGGTGTTCAGCCCAGAGCTTGTGTAAACCTCGACTATAACATAACATAACATGCTTGCTATCTACCATTATCTGTGGTAAAAATCTCACGAAACATTGACACGGTGATACACGCGGAGTTACTTAGGTTTCAAATTCTTCTGCATAACCAAATCTTCAAATCATAGTAGGCAGCTTTCACCTAACCAAGAGAATGCCATATTTTGGAGGAACAATATCATAAATAAAAAACTTGTATTTGAAGTTGAAAAACATGTTATGAGAATGTTGTGTGTAACATTAACTTTACTTGGAAAAAGTTTTTGTGAGTGAAAGTAAACATTTCACTCACAATTCCAATTGAGGACTAGTCATTCCTCCAATTGAGATGGAGGATTCAAACCCCGTCAATAGCTAAGCATCTCCTTCCCCCTTCCTGATGGAATTTAAAAAAATTAAAAGACAGAAAGAATACTTCACTTGAAATGCACCTTCATAGGTGTATCAATATTCTAATTGAAGGTCAAGTTCTGATAGTTTAATTTACTCGTGAAACAATTAAGTAAATCTCAAACTAATTGAGGTTAGTTATACAAGTCATATATTCACTTCAGTAGACTTTATGTTGCATCCTAATGTTAGCGCGTATAAACAGAGCTTTGATACAATCTGGTTGTGATATTTGAAGGGTTAATAAATTCATTTTGGACGAGGATAAGGGGTAAAAGGTCACACATAAAATTTAACTTAACTGACTTATCGGGACAAATTTAGTGTGCAATATATTTCCCTTAAAAACTATTTTCATTTTTTCCCCTCTCATGTAGAAATTACTCGTCCTATTTTGTTGTTGCTACCATTTGTTGCTTTATTTTCACTGTTCCTTGAGCCGTGGTCTATCGAAAACAACCTGAGACGTATCCGAGATTTTAATACCATGGGTGCACTATTATCTTTAAGATAGATATTTGGTTCCATTGTAAAAAAATTTATGGTGACGCCAAGTTGACGACCAAACTATATTAATACTACATTTGCAAAAAATATCATTCACTTTACAATTGTCCTAGACGAGTTTTTGTACTTTGAAAACGGTCAATAATAATCATTACTTACAATTTTAAATATCTCATGCTCTATATAGCAAACTAAACCATCATTAAAAAAACTGTAAATAAACATTCCCTCCCCGCTCTGACTTTGATCGACTTGCCCGCACAGCGTCTTTTTTGAGAGACTTCTTTTAAAAGCGGCGCTTAATATTGAGCAGGAGGTTTTACTGCTTTGAATCCATAGACAGCCTCAGAATCGAGAGAGACGAGTCATGAGTACTTTGTTTTTAGGGATTTCAAAGTTTTTGTACTCAAAAGAATGATTAAGAGAAGAAAAATTTTAAAAGACGTAGGCAAAAGGATTTTTTTTTTTAATTTTGAAAAAAGTGAAAAAAAACGTGTTTGTTTGTAACAACAACAACAACAACAACATACCCAGTGTAGTTCTACAAATGAGGTCTTGGGAGGGTAGAGTGTACGCAGACCTTATCCCTGCCTTTAAAAAGGCAGAAAGGCGATTTTCGGTAGACCCCCAGCTCAGGAAGGGGAGAGGGGAGGGGCAATAACAAGCAAACCGATCTGACAACCAAAGCAAAAATACAAAACTAGAAAAAGATAATGCAATCAGAAAACCGAAACACAAGACAACAACAAGTAGTAACAGAAGATTAGGGTACAAAAAAACACGAAAGGCACTAAGTGGTGTATCAAAGCTACTGCTACAAACAAGGACGCTACTTGGCCACCTAACCCTTTACCTTTATTCTCAACCTCCACACCTTCCTATCCATGGTCATGTCCTCAGTGAGCTGGAGCAACGCTATATCTTGCCTAATCACCTCTCCCCAATACTTCTTTGGCCTGCCTCTACCTCTCTGTTGGCCCTCCCATGCCAGCCTCTCACTCCTCCTCATCGGAGCATCAGTGCCTCTCCTCTTCACCCCCCCCCCCATCTTGTCCTCCACAGGGGCCACACCCACCTTGTCCCGAATAACTTCATTTCTAATTTTATCTAACCTGGTATGCCCGCACATCCACCTCAACATCCTCATCTCCGCCACTTTCATGTTCTGGACATAGGATGTTTTGACCGGCCGGCCAACACTCCGCCCTATACAGCATAGTCGGTCTGACCACCGCTCTATAGAACTAACCTTTAAGTATTGGTGGCACATTCTTATCACACAAAACACTAGAAGCGAGCCTCCATTTCAACCATTCCGCTCCAATAAGGTGTGTGACATCCTCGTCGGTCTTCCCATTCCCTTGTATAATAGATCCAAAGTACTTGAAACTTTCTCTCTTAGGGATGACTTGTGTATCAAGCCTCACGTCTTCGTCCTCTACCTGAGTCGCGCAACTGAACTTGCACTCCAAGTATTCTATTTTGGTCCGCTCAACTTGAAACCTTTCGACTCCAAAGTCTGTCTCCAAACATCTAACCTCTCGTTAACACCACAATGCGTCTCGTCAATCAGTACAATGTCATCTGCAAACAACATGCACCACGATACCTCCCCTTGAATGTGACGCATCAGCGCATCGATCGCCATGCAAACAGGAATGAGCTGACGGCAGACCCCTGATATAGCCCCATCACAATTGGGAAGTGTTTCGAGCCCCCTCCCACTGTCCTCACCCGAGTCTTAGCACCCTCGTACATGTCCTTAATAGCCCTAATGTATGCAACAGGAATGCCTCTAGCCTCCAAACATCTCCACAGCACCTCTCTCGGCATTTTATCGTAAGTCTTCTCTAAGTTGATGAACACCATATGAAAATCCCTCTTCCTATCTCTATACTACTCCATCAACCTCCCAACAAGGTGAATAACTTCTGTAGTCGAACGCCCCGACATAAATCCGAATTGGTTCTCTGAAATAGACACAATCCTTCTCACCCTCAGCTCCACCACCCTCTCCCATACTTTCATAGTATGGCTCAGTAGCTTGATATCCCGATAGTTGTTGCAATTTTTTATATCCCCCTTGTTCTTATACAACGGGATTATCGTACTTCATCTCCATTCCTCGGGCATCTTCTTCGTCCTTAAAATGACATTGAATAGCCTAGTTAGTCATTCCAAGCCCGCCCTACCCACGCTCTTCCAGAATTCCATCGGGATTTCGTCTGATCCGCTCACTCTCCCCTTGCTCATCTTACACATAACCCCCTCTACCTCCGCAATTTTAATATGCCTGCAATACCCAAATTCCTGACGGCTCTTGGAGTTTTCTAAGTCACCCAACACAATGTTCCTATCCCCCTTATTGTTCAGGAGATTATGGAAGTATGTTTGCCATCTTTGTTGAATCAGAGCCTCGTCCAACAATACTCTACCTTCCTCATCCTTGATGCACTTTACTTGGTCCAGGTCATGGGCCTTCCTCTCTCGCACCTTGGCTAACCTGTACAGCTTCTTGTCCCCTCCCTTGCCTTCAAGTTCTTCATACAAGCGCTCAAATGCGGCAATCTTGGCAGCGGTAACTACTAACTTTGCTTCCTTCTTAGCCACCTTATATCGCTCCATGTTCATTCTCTTCTCCTCCTCGTCCATGCTTTTCACAAACTTCAAATAAGCCACTTTCTTGACTTCCACTTTACCTTGGACCTCAGTGCTCCACCACCAATCCCCTTTGCGGCCACCAGAAGGGCCCTTCGAGACCCCCAATACCTCCATAGAAGCCTCCTTAATGCAATCCGCAGTCGCGGTCTACGTACCAGTCGCATCCCCACTGCTCCTCCATGCCCTCATAGCCAGCAGCTTTTCCCCCAACTCTTGGGCGATGACCTTAGTCAAAGCTCCCTACTTGATCCTAGGAAGACCATACGCAACCCTCTTTCTCCGCTTCCTCATAATCTCCAAATCCATGACCAGGAGCCTAAGCTGGATCGTGAGGTTCTCACTTGGGATGACCTTGCAATCCGTGCACAAACCTATATCCGACTTTCTAAGTAGTAGATAATCATCTGTGTCCGGGTTGCCGAACTATGAAAAGTAACCAAGTGCTCCTCATTCTTCGGTAAACTCGAGTTCACAATCACCAAATCAAACGCCTTAGCAAAATCTAGTTATGAAGTTCCTCCTCCGTTCCTAACTCCAAAACCGAAGCCTCCGTGCACATCATCGTAACCCCAGATGTTGCCCCAATATGGCCATTGAAATCTCCTCCTATGAAAAGCTTCTCAGTGTGCGGGATACCACGCACAACCTCATCCAAGTCCTCCTAGAAGCGCCTCTTGACCTCTTCGTCCAAGCCCACTTGGGGTGCGTACGCACTAATCACGTTTAAAGTAAAAACCCCAATGACGAGCTTAATTCCCATCAGCCTGTCACTCACTCTCTTAACCTCCACCACTAGCTCCCAGAGATCACTATCAACCAAAATGCCTACCCTATTCTTGACCCCCCCCCCCCCCCACGCGACCAGAGTACCACAACTTAAGCCCATCTACATCCCGTGTCTTATCTCCCACCCATCGTGTCTCCTGGAGACAAGCTATATCAATCCTCATCTTATGGAGAACCTTTGCTAACTCTACAGACTTCCCCGTTAAGGTCCCTATGTTCCAAGACCCCACTCTCAGCCTAGATGCACCCTTACCACCCTTACCCCTTGCCCCTCACCCCCTGGAAACCCCGCGAAGACATGAGCTTACCTTACCATCGTTCAAAATAGCCACTATAGTCAAGACACACTATGATACTAATAATACAGTCCGAAACTGAAAAGCACACATGTAGGGGAAAAAAACTAATGTACTATGTTAGGTAGTAGCAACAAGATACGTGAAACTAAATACCCTAGACGATACTAATAGGACCAAAAGCAATTACGAAATATCTAAACAATACAAGTGAATCAGACAATTAAATGATCTAAGCAAATAAACCACGGCTATTGCGCAATACTAATAGAGAACACACTATGAACAGAGAAACACATTTAAACAAAGTATATCTAAGACAGAGTGTAATGGGACATGAACGTAGATCCTGGTATCGTCGCGGAAGACGGTGGAGCCGGTGGCGGTCGTCGGAGATATGGCCGGAGTTGCTGGATGATGACTTACGTGGCTTGAAGACGGGTCTGGTTTGCGGGTGACCACGATGCTGCAAAACAGGCCTGCAACCTGATTGTGGTTGTTCCCACTCGCCGACGACTAGTCCGGATCTCACTGGAGGCTGCTGTCTTGCCGGCGCACACACGGGTCTGGGAAAGTGAAACGAGGGGGAGAGAGGACGGCCCGCAAATTATTTATTAATTAATTATAGAAAAAATTAATCAAATGGGGATCGAACCCCTGACCTTGGGGGCAAAAAGGAGATAAGAGGGGCACTTAGTCATCAATCACTACAACACTATGCATATATAGCTATTAAATATATTGTAGCTAAATATAAAAAATTTCGTAGCTAAACACTTTAGCAACAATTTTTTCTTCCGTAGCATTCGTAGCAAGAAGTGGCGTAACAAAAAGTTAGATACAAACTTTAAATAATCTATGGCTAAGGACTAATACTTATTGCTATGAAATTTTTTTGTGTTCTAGCTATGATGATAATACATTCTTGCCACGGAAAATATGATTATAGAAATAATTTTATTCATTTGCCACGACAAATAAAATGTATAGCTATCTTTATTTTATAGCTACAAAGTATTGTATTATAGAAAAAGATTTAATTTGTTTGCCGCGTAACTTTAATTTTGTGGCTATTTCTATAACTTAGTTTCGTAGCAATAGTACTCATATTCAGCTATGGATAAGAAATTCATAGCAATGAATTGAAGTATTTGCCACAAATATATTTTTATTGTAGCAAAAAATTCATATTTTTAGCCATGTTCGTGATACCTTTATATATATGTTCGTGATACCTTTTACCACAAAATTGTCACATAATATAAACATGGCTATACATTTTTATTTTCATAGCAAATGAAGAAAATCTTTTTCAACAATTTCAACAATATATA